TGTCAAAAGAAACTAGCAAGCCATAAAACTTATCATATTACTTAGAGTCGGAAAATTATTCTCACTAGTCGAATAAGTCTTGCGAGTACATTGTGTTCTCAGGGTTTATTTACCCCTGTTGTAGATAATGCATGAGAAGTACCCTTGTGTGGAGGATTCTTCTGGTGGGCTCAGACGGATCCTCTTCGTTTCACTAGTATGTTTATTTCTAAATTTCGCTGTTTAGTATTTCGCACTCAGACATTTGGTAATGTACTAATGAGATTTTTAAGCACTTCTGATGTATGAAATGGACAAGTATTGTAACTTCTCATTATTGTATCATTGGAAAAATGTGGATCTTTTGGGTTCTCTTTTGTGGTGTGCCCGACGGATACCGCGGGGTGCTTAATGTCTAGTGGAAGACGAGCCCCTCCGTAAATGTGCTATTTTGGGTGGTTCTGCCACAACCAGTCTATTGGATACTTAGAACAGACGACTGCAAGCACACCAGAAGGACGGACGCAAGCCTAGATGCGACGGACGACGCACAATCCTAGTTTGGATGCAAGCACACAAATGGATGGATGGACGGCGCCTCTGTGATCTCGGGGAAGATGGCCAGCGCCGCGCGACAGGTTGATTCCGGTCGGGGCCGACCTCAGCAGTGGACAAGCATCAGCGTCGGCGCAGACCAACACCGACGCACGGAGGACAGCCCCTCCGCGAGCTTGGGGAAACTCTAGAGGCTGCGACAGGCCGATTCCATCTAGGGGCCCGAGGCAGGCTCGCCCGACGCCCGTGCCCTGCGCGGCCGACGTGTTCGACACCTGGCCCTGCGCACCCGACACTCGGCCTTGCGCGGTCGCCGTGTTCGCGGTGCCTCGAGGTTCGTGGCTGGCGCACCCAACGCCCGTGTCTTGCGTGGCCACCGTCGGTGCCCTGTTGCCTGCGCGCAACACCGTGTGCTGCCCGATTAGGGTTTGCTCAATTGGGGAAAAGTGAGCGAGTCTGCCTCTAATGGGAGACAGGATAAGATGGGGGCAGTGTGATCTTTTCATGTGGGTTGCTTTTCTTTTTCTAATTTTTTTGCCACTTAATTCCTCAATATTTAACGCCGGCGCAAAGTAGGGGTAAACGGCTGGTTCATTTTAAAATTGTAAGGATAAAATCATAAAGTTAAAAAAAAAGTTAGGTAAAATCATCATTGGGCCCTAGAGTAGGGGTTGAAACACCATATTCCGATTCTAATAATATCATCACGAACGCGAAGCCTTCGCTGGACCAACTCCAGTGGATTAGTCGGCTCGAGTAGCGCTTGTTCAAGGCATCTAATGTGGCCCTGTAACTGTGAATGCTGGCCAACTTAAACCCAGAACGCGGGCATTTTACAAGGACAACAGTTTTCTGCATGGCTGCATCCTTCACTGTGATACCAGCGATCACCTCAGAGCACTGCCAGCTTCATCTCGTGGCTATAATCAAGCAGTGCCTAAGAATAGCTTGAAACATAACAAAGTCAATCCCAGACAAGTCATACACAGGCCAAGCATTCACAGATCAAAAGGACGATGGCAATTGAGCTCCGAACATGATTGAATGATAACATCTCTGCAAATCCACCAATGCAGACAAGTATAGACCATACAGATAGGCAAAATGCAATACTGGTGGCAGCACAAGCCAGTTACTACACCATTGTCACTAATTTGGAAGAACAAAGAAACTTAAGCAGCACTGGGGTCACTGACGCCATATTACTTTGCAGTAGTCTCAAACTGACGGTTGCCTTTGTAGAACCTGGCAGAAACAAGAAATATATCAGTAAGTGGTGTATTGCAATCACGATAAAGAACTTTTTAAATAAATAAAGGGGGAAAAAACAAACGATCCACATATATATTACAACTGTGTGGCAAAAAACACTATAGAAACCAACAGCATATTCATCATTTACTATACAATGAAACTATATAAACTTTTAGTCAATTTTTAATTCTAAAAACAGAACAAGAGAAAACTGCCCCAACTAAACATTATACTGGTTTATCTGCAAATTCCAACCAGGACAAAAACATTAATGCAAAAGAACAAAACAAAGCCAATTCCATGATCCGGGCAGGGAAGGCGGCTGAATCACAAAACAGGTTTATGTTGCCAGTTGGCACTTGGCAGAATATTTGAGCAACCCAGCGAGTTTAAATGCCAAGCCAACAGGTTACAAGTTATACTTCATCTGATGAAAAACACAAGTCCATTATCGACGAGGTCTACAATGTGACACTGAGTATCAGTATCTATTAAAAACTTAAAATATATCTTCCTTACATAGAAAAGAGTTGTATATTAAATCTAGCAATACCAAATTTATCTTGTACATCCATATAAAATTTAGATATTCATAGTCAAAGGTTAAAAGGTTTTACTTAGACGGACTTGTATCTCCAATTGGAGGAAGTAACTTGTTTTACAAATCGGCAGATTCTGTCCTTGCCGATTCTGTCCAGGTGACAGTATGCATTCCCATAGATATATCAATCTGAACAAACTCATGGGTTCTTGACTGTAATTTATTTCTTATAAGTAGTGTGTTTACAATTAACCTGTTCTACATAATGCCTAGTTACCAGAAAAACAAAAGCCACTAACACAAATGCATGATAGCTAAAAATTCAACGATGAATCATCAAGACATGTTCAAATGATCCTTCCAATTAGAGCAGAAAATGGATTAAAAAAACCCCGATGTATTCAATATGATATCGAAACCAAGGTCCAAGGTCTTAGTCTCAAGACTTCCACAGCAAATTCAATACTACGCTCAAATAGAGAAATATATCACACTTGTATGACAATATCAACATAACATCTGTATCACGCAACTCCATTAACAGATCCCAAATAATAAAAATGCATGAGAATCAGTTTAGAAGGACACACCAACAAATTGTGCTGCGAACAAAATTAAAACTAGTTTACCATGTCCATAAAACAAAATAACATATCATTACCAAATTCAGCAAGTACCACAGGCTACTGTTAACGGGCATTAATCAATCTAAAAAAGGGCGTACCCAGTGCAGAGAGCTCCCGCTCTATGCGGGGTCTGGGGAAGGGTGTTAGTGGCAAGCCTTACCCTCGCCTGTGCAATGCGAGGAGACCGCGACTCGAACCCGGGACCTTCCGGTCACAGGCGGTAAGACTCTACCGCTTGCACCAGGCCCGCCCTTCGGGCATTAATCAATCTAGACGAGACAAAATAATTCCAAGGGTCAGATTATCACAAAATAAAACAACATCAAACAAATAAAAACATCATTGTACTCATCAACCAATCAATCACCTACTAAATGATTATACAAGAAGACAATGACGAAGACTGAGAATGGAAATCAGCCATAACGGTGAAAAATCAAAGTACCAATCAAGAGTCATATCATAAGTTCGTACTTTCAGAAAAGAAGAAGAAAAAAAAGGTAATCGTCCATTTGAGCTTCATAATATGTCCTTCAATTGCCATGTCCTCATAAAGTTGTGATTAGGTCTTCGAATTCCAAAGCAGAGAATTCCATATGGGTTAGCAGGAGAATAAACCTGTCTTGAATGTTTGAACTTAATTACATAAGCTTAAATCTCTGGATGATGAATTGTGTCTCAAGGCAGTGAAAGAGTCAAATTTAAGATATGCAGTAAGCTAATCTAGACAAGAGTCACAACTTAGCAGAAGTGCAGAACAGAACACATCCTAGCCAAAACATGCATATAGAAATCATACCATTCAGACCACTAGTGGCAGAAGAATAGGTGGCTAGGCCAACAGCGATCAGCACCGGCGGCCAGAGCACAAGTGTTTCACCTCGTACCCAAAGTAGGCTTCTATGATCTTTCAACTTGCTCTACTCTATCATTTGCTGGTTGATTCATTCTTGCACAGATATTGGGGTCGTGAGTTCTTGGGGAAGAGCGATTGGGGATGGATTTTGGCGAAGCTCGGTCCGGCGGGAGCTGATTTGACGAGTAGATGGGGTTAGGAGGAGCTAGCTCACCAATCAGATGGAGACAATTTGAGCTGCACGCGAGACTGGCGTAGGATGTGCACCTCCACGCATGTGGACTGCGGTGGCGCATTGGCTGCAGCTGCAGTGGATCCAGAAGGGAGGAGAAAAGGCATGGACGGATACCTGATGTCAGTGCGTGAGACTGGCGTAGGATGTGCACCTCCACGCACGGTGGACTGCGGTGGCGCATTGGCTGCGGCTGCGGCTGCGGCGGCGGCGGATCCAGAAGCGAGGAGAAAAGGCATGGATGGATACACGATTTCAGTGCGCGCAGGGAAGGGATTTTGGGCCGATATAAATGGCACCACCATGCCCAACGTGGAATGGAATGTTTTTTACGCCTTCAATGCGCGTTAATACTCCACTTCTTGATGTAGAAACAGTTTCTCTATTTTCTCTTCTCTCTCTTTTCAATAAATACTTTACCACATTAACAAAATGCTTTACCTGGCAGGATAATAAATACACATAGAAGCTACCCTAGTTTCTGCATTGAGCCCTAACAATTCAAGCAGAGGAGTAATAAACATTAAATAATACCATAGCAACAGAGAGCTAATCAAGACCGCTAACTCAAAGAAACCCACCAGTGAACTAAAACACCTCATCCACCAATTCACCTGGTCAATTCTTCTTGGAATTGCAGAATTTAAACTATGATGGCCTACTGCCACACTGATTTATCCAACAAATGACAGTGAATCCAACCAAGATCAAGTCAACAAATCATTCAATCAGAACCTATAATGCGACAAGAACGAGCTAAGACCGACCGCGGTTTATCTATCGTGAACAGGAAACAAAATCGCTGCGAACTACACGAAATCACAGAGACCTATCAATCCCCACAAGCCAGTTGCGATAAAGGGGTCAAACGGACGCAAGGCAACGAATCCTATTGAGGGGAGGAGACGGACGGGGAGCTCACTTTTGGAGGTGGGGGAGGCATGGGAACGGACGGGCCTAGAGCTCAAGCTTGAGCTCCTGGATGTCGCCGTCGCGGGTGAGGAAGTGGAGGATGTAGGGGGCGGCGCGGATGACGGCGGCGCAGGAGGCCATGATGACGAGGTGCGACCGCAGCTGCTTGTACGCAGCCTCCTTGCTCGGGCGCCGCGGGAGCGCGCCGAGGAACATCTTGATTCGCTTCGCTTCTCCGAATCCGATCGGCGGCGAGGGTTTCGAGCTGTGGAGGCTGTGCGGCTTAAACCCTAGCGATCCGATGCGATTGCTTCTATAGAGAAGAAGGAGAGGGGTTCAGGTCCTTTTTACGCGCAGATCCCACTGTGGATTTTCGGAGTCGAGTGGGCCTCCAGCCCAAATGGGTTGACCGATTGCTTCTCGTCGTTCGCCGTAAAATTGGCCCCATTGGCCTTCTAATAGAAGGAGTGAAATGAAGTTTCTAAAAAAAAAGAAGAGTGAAATGAGCGCATTCAACTTGAGAGGGAAATGAGCTAACTCCCCGATCATGAATCCCTCACAATGTATTTGACAACTAATCCCCCCATCTCAAAAAGATTGTTATCCTAAGTTTGAAGTTTTACTAAGTTTATGAAAAATCATGTCAATACTTGTATCTCCAAAAAGGGTTATTATGAAAAAAAATATTTATCTTATGATATACTTTATTACGTATCATTATTATTAGTAATTTTTGTATATATATATATATATATATATATATATATATATATATATATATATATATATTGGCAAACTTGATGTTGGATTGACTCCTGAAAAGGTGATAATAACATTCTTTTTAGGACGGATGAAGTATGTTGATATTTTTTCATCAAAATTATTTTAATTTAAATTAGAATTGCATCACAGCGTAGGTATTACGTACTCCTACTTCACTTTTGTCGTTTCAGACACCTCGGCGTTCCAACTCCCGTCGACCTCGTTGTCTCATTTTTTTTTTTTTTTTTTTTTTACATAGTCTCATTTTTCAACTCCAATGGAATTCAAACGTATATAATTTTGAACTGGGAATCCTTGCTGGTAACATATTTTGGTGGTATATGTAATAAGCAACTTGTTTTCAACTTTGGCACAATGTTCAAATCACTCCTTTTTTTATATTATGTTCAAATCACTCCTTGGGCCATTTTAGAAATTCTAGAGCGAAAAAAAAAGAATGAAGAAGGCCAGCCGGTGAAGCAGCGACTCAAGTTGAGCATCCAAATTAAATTAATACTCTCTCCGTTAAGTTCATCGTCCAATTACTCTCTCAATTCCAAATTAGAAGTCCGTTTTGATTTTTTGGATACATCGAATTTGTTAGATCTAGACATTTGTTATAATTTAGAATTCGAAATGGAGGGAGTAATAATAATTATTAAAAAAAGTCAAAGTAGCAAATTTTTTGGATACATAGCAAATTTGATGTATGTCAAAGTAGCTTATAATTTAGAATTCGAAATGGAGGGAGTAATAATAATTATTAAAAAAAGTCAAGCCGGCAACTCGTTGGCCTTGCTGGGGCCGCCCGGCTGGTACGCCACGATGGACATGGGCTCCACGAGCATCGGCAGCAGCTCGTCCTGGATGCAGCCGTACATCTTCCCGCAGTGCGCCTCGACGACCCGGACGAGGTTGGTGATGTCCTGCTTCGCCTGCAGGGCTGCAGGATCTCCGCTTCCGGCAGCTCAGGCGCGTCGGTCCCCAGCAGCTTGGACAGCCGCTCCACGTTGCCCTCCACCTGCTGCTGGTAGTCCTCGAACAGCGCCTGCTTCTGCGCCATGGACAGGCTCCCCGGCTCCCGCCGCCGGGTCGCCGTTTCCTCGGCGTCGAACATGTAGTAGGCGAACACGTAGGAGCGCGCCAGCACCTGCCGGCACCGCAGCAGGCTCCGGTGCGCGTCGGTCAGCCACGCCGCGTCCCTGGTCAGGACGCCGCTCCACTCCAGCCTCAGCACGCGATCGGCGACGGCCGGCCCCAGCTTGTCGCGCTCCGCCTTGTACGAGAAGTCGTGGGCGTGGAACCGCTGGTAGTAGTGCACTAGTGCTCGTAGCGCCGCACCTGCCGCCTGGCGTCGTCCACCTTCCTCTTCTCCTCCTTCACGAAGCGGTTGCAGCTGTGGTTGTCGATGCTAGTCCATGTGTGAGCCAACCCCGTGGCGCCGCCGCACAGCCAGCTGCATGCATCATAATTAAGATGAATGACCATGCAATTAAGAAGCGTAATGTAATAGTGAGCGAGGAGAGCTTAGTATAATTACCAGAAATGCTGGCCTCATTTGCAGGTCATAAGGTTGCAGCCGTCGATCTTGTCGATGGGTTTGAAGCACTTGGGGCAGCTCTTGGTATTGGCGAGCAGCCACCTGACGTTCTCCGCCTCGCCCTGGCCCTTGGCCTCCCAGCGCTCCCACATGGCGCAGGGGCACGGCGAGTGCGCGGCCGTCGCGCACCGGAAGCAGAAGCTGACGCCGCAGGGGCACCGCACCTCTCACAGCGGCTCCACCTCGTCGGCGGCGTCCACGCGGATCGCGTGGCCGCAGTGCGGGACGCTGGGGCACCACTTCACGGCGCTGTTGTCGTCCACGTACGACTGGAGGAGGAAGTCGTGGAGCCGCTGGGCTGCGGCGGGGTCCCTGTGGCCCAGGCGCCGCTGCACCACGGCCTCGTCGCAGATGGCGGGGCACTTGAACGCCATGCACGGGATCTGTTTCTTGCCGAGGTCGAGCGCGGCGACGAAGTGCTGCGTCCAGCAGTCGTTGCAGAAGGAGTGGCCGCAGTCCACCGTGGAGACGTGCCGCGGGGAGAAGTCCTCGAAACACACCTCGCAGAGCACCCTGCTTCGTGAAGAAGGCCTGCTGCTGCTGCTCGTCTCCTGTTGCTGTAGCGCGACGCCTGCCTCCATGAGCATGCGTTCTTGCCCTTTCCTCTCCAGGTGGTCACCGAGGCGATCAGTGTTCCACCGATAGTGGATCAGGAGAGCACGCGCGTGGTGCTGCTTTATGTTGAACAGGCCCATCACCATGGACAGGTCTTGTTGCTGCAGAGGACACAAGGAAAGCTGTAATCAGTTACCTGATGCTTACTAGTATATTATTACGCAAATATAATATGTTCACTAATCTCTTAGGGCCTAAAGTAGGATTATCCAAGCATAGGAATGGGAAAGCAGAGCACAGGAATAGGAAAGCAGGATGGTTATAGTACCATATATAGCACCTCAAATCCTATGGGATGAAAAAGCAAAAACCGTTTGCATGAAGCACAAAAACACAGGAATCTGAAAAAAGAGAAAACATGTAAAGGAAGATTTTCAAGAAGTTAATTGATGCTTACTAAATTATTATGCAAATATAATGTGTTCAGTGTTCACTAATCTCTTAGGGGCTAAGGCTCCTTTCAAATTGAAAGTAGGATTATCCAAGCATTGGAATCGGAAAGCAGGATTATAGTCCCATAGCACCCCATCAGATCCTATGGAATGTAAAAATGGAAACTGTTTTCATGAAGCAGAAAAACAAAGGGATCTGAGAAAGGTGATAAGATGTAAAGGATTTTTTTTTCAAGAAGTTGGGCTAATGTTAGAAATTCTTCAAATTTCTTGTAGTAATAGGCCCATTCCTTTTTTTAATTGTTCCAAATGAATTACAAACATGAAACATATGTAGGAGGAGATGCATATTTTGACAATCATCAGTTGACTGTCAAGAATGCCTAGTCAAACCAGAACATTACCTGCGCCACCGAAAGAGAGTCCTTCTTAATGGCCTGCAACAAGAGGAACAAAATTGATTTAGTGATGTTGTCAAAGTAGCAATAGTAGTGAGTAAGCAACATGAAGAAAAAATTTGTAATAGAAACCAAGACTGGTTTTCTTGAGGTCATGGACTAAAGTTTTAATCTTTTTTTTTTTTTTGGGTTGAAGCATCTTTACGAATTCTCTCTTTTTTCCTTAAGATATTGTCTAGTCACAATATGTCAAGTAATTTCTCTCGAACATGCAAAAAGGTTTGCGCGTCTTTGTATTAAGGTAGAGAAAATGTTCGATACATTACACATTTAGCGGCACCCTAGAAGGTCAATAAGTTGTAAATGAACGTTCGGACCCCCCTAGTATACTGCAAGCTATACTATTACATTGGACAGAGATCAACCCAAATTGTAGTGTCGGCTAGGCCTATGCCCGGGCTTAGAAGTCTTCCAAAGCATGTGAAAACTAAAGGTGTATGTGCCCCAATGAAGTTCTAGTGGTGAAAGATGTGACTTGAGCTATTGTCCACAAATACGCAAGGGATGGGATTCTGAATTTGTCATAAGTCAAATGATTGTAAATTTAGGTGGATGGAGGGAGTAGCAATATAGGTGGAATTTTTACTCAATAATTAGTGATTAAATTGGACATAGTTAATAATTTATTAAATTCTCAATGCAAAACATCAGAAACAAATACAAATACGAAGTTACTGCTATAATTGATTATTAATATGGTTTCTTAGGGCCTGTTTGGATTTATTAACACTAAACATTAGCAGCTAAAATTAGTACTAGTGGATCCAAACAAACTTGCTAATGAACCTGCTAATTATTAGTTGAGGGATGCTAACTATTAGTTTTATTAGCAGGTTTGGAGTTGGTAATAGGTGCTAATAGTTCATACACGCCTTCAACTCATTATCCAACCACCTATTAGCAGGTGAATCTAAACAGCCTTGCAGCTATTAGCTAGTGTGCTAATGGATGCAAACAGGCGTATGTTTAGTAACAATGACGGCTTCCAATCCAAAATTTTCAAGGAGCCGGTGTGTTTCGGGCAAGGTCTTATTACGTATGCTTCACTTAAAATGCATTGTTTAGCTTACATGATTTATTATGCAAACCTCGAATGTATCTTATTGCTTTCACTTTCAGAGGTGTATATACACTATACAAAAGGATCAAACCGAACCAAGTTTTTTTCTTTTTAAGGCTAAACCGAACCAAGTTGGTTTTACTCGGTTTGTTTAATTTTGTGGATTAGTACAACGCGGGATCGACCTTTGACGAGAGGATTTGTAATTGTACTGACAGGGAACGTTCAAAGGACGTCAGATTCGATCAAATCTAGTAAGTTTTTATGGGTGGTGGATTCAGTCAACATTTAGGCATTTGAAGAATCGGAACCACAACTACCGGACAGTCGCCGTTACTCACCGAAATCTCCGGGCACCGCCGCGGCGGCATGTCGTCCTCCTCCTGGTCCTGCCACCCCTCGTTGTCGTCGTCGTCCCCCATCACCAACTCCTCGTCTTCGTCACTGTAGCCGTAGAAGTCGTCGGCATTGTTCATGGGTGGCGGGCGGCGGGCGGTGCGGCAGCTCGGTCGCTGGCGGCGCGGCGGGCGAGGGATAGAGTCCGTTGAGCAGGGCCGCGCGGGTTTAGTTAGGGGCGGCGTCGGAACTCGGAACTAGTACTCCAAAGTGTTTGACTCGGGTTTTCTTTGCCCACGATTTTAGGTCTTTTCTTTTATAAGGCCCTCTTTTGAACACAGGGAAGCACAATCACGGGAATAGGAAAATCATGAGTCGGTCTACTGTACAACTATATGTTTTATATAGTTTCAATACATAAATTTTTTAGCATTATAGGATTAAGATCCAACAGCCTCCAGCCTTCTTCTACCTCCAGCCTTCTTCTATCTCTAGACAATCACAAATCATAAGATCACATATCACAAGAAATAATTTTTTCTATAGAAGGACAAATCACAGATCACAGAGGTATTTATGTGTTCATTATGACATGTGGGCCTCAGAAGTCATAGATATAAAAAAATTCATGTGTTTTTTTTTTTGCTAAAACACATATGTGTTGTATAGCATTTCTAAAAATCATAGAAATATCATATGAATGTAGTTGTAAAATAGAGGATTGAAAAACATAGAAATTTTGATGGAGTGATCATTTGGACAAGACATAGCAGAAACGTAGGATTTCTTCCCAGAGCTTCGAGTTGATGTTAGATTTCCTGCAGTTTTCCTCAAAACAGTAGGCAAAGGAAAAATTCGTGCATTATTCCTATACTCCGTTCCTACGAACCAAATGCATGAACGGTGGAAATTTCTATAAGATTCCCAATCCTATATTTTTCTTCTGTTTTTCCTATAAACCAAAGGAGACATAAAATGGATTTTAGGTCTTGTTGTTTTCTGGTTGGGCCGGTTCGCAACTGACTGCAGCGCTAGGATGCCAGCCCGTACAACATAATTATTACAGGTGTGTTTATTTACTTTTCACAGTTCATCCATCCCAGAAAGTCTAGGCCTGTGTTTAGTTGGTAAAATTTTTAGCGAAATGGTACTGTAGCACTTTCGTTGTTATTTGACAATTAATGTTCAATCATAGTTTAATTAGGCTTAAAAGATTCGTCTCGTGAATTTCGTCTAAACTGTATAATTAGTTTTATTTTTTATTTATATCTAATGCTTCATGCATGCGTCCAAAGATTCAATGTGACGGAAAATCTTGAAAATTTTTGCAAAATAAAGTGCAACTAAACAGCACCTAGGCTGAAAATTTGTCCATGGATAAATCAACTTTTAGGCCCTCACCATCTATCTGACCTATTTACAGCCTTTTTGTTTCGGCTTATTCGCTCGTACCTGGCTTATAATCCACGGCTTAAATAGTATTTTTCTCTCACAACAAACCAGCAAGCGGTACTTTTAGCCATGTCTTATAAACCAATTCAGCCGAAACGAACAAGCTGTTGATTGCTTGGAGTAAGTGCCGGTCCTATGATTTTGAGAGCCCTCTGGCGAACTCGTCGCGACGGCCCCTCTAGACCATAAAATTTTAGAATATATAGGCTAATTTTACTTGTATAGGGAAAGCAAATCTAATAATATATTTTTAATTTAATATGTCTGATAATTATCGAGAGCGAGAAACAACGTAGACTAAAAGAGCAATGTATTTGTACTTCTAGAACTAATACGATTACCTTAACGAAGAATAGAACTCTATCATATCCACTGCTTCTTATAAAAAGATATTTCTTCGGGCATTTCTTGATGCAAAATCATCATGAACGGTATTGAGATCAATAGTGTCTAAGATATCCTTCTCGATGGTGCGCATAGCCAAGTCATTTAACATTTCTTGTGACATAGTTGATCTCAAATAGTTCTTCAACAACTTCAATTTTGAGAAACTTCTTTCGGCCGAAGCTACAGTCACAGGTACAATTAAAAGAATTCGATAGACAACTAAAATATTTGGATAGCAATCTGCATCCATAACAAACTTCAGAATCTCTGGCGCCGACATCAAAGAATCTGGCAAAGTCACTTGCAACACCTTTAATTCTGAAAAAAATCATTGATCTCAACATCGGATGAGTTATCATGAGAAACTTGACAAATTATGTTTAGCAAGAAACTTGACAGCAGAAACGATTCTTACTAAAACTTGTTTCCAACGCTCTCTCTCCTTTGCAATTTCTCATTGCAAATCATCATCAATTGTTTTATTTTTGCTCAACCTCAGCCTAAGTTCATTCCAAGTATTCATGTTTCTTATATGCTCAACACTATTCTCATGTTCCTTGAGTCTTAAACTAAGATGTTTCCGGTCCCTCAATCCATCGTGTGCTACCAAACTTTTTATTCTGATATGATTTGAACAATTTGCAGCAAAAACAAAAAACTTTGTCCACATGTTTAGAGTAAACCAACCATTTTCTATCAACCACCTCACCATTGCTTAACTTTCTGGAGTAGTAAGCATATGAAAATGTCTATTGTGAGCATCAACAGAGAACTTAAGATTCAATTCTCTCACCGGTCATTTTTCAATCAAAATATCTCTACCCTTATTATCAAGATTCTTTCAAGTTCTGGGATCAAAGACATCATGAATAGAAAGTTGCACATCATCAATTGAATTTTCAGGTTGAGAGAAAGGCTGTAAATTTTCATCATCTATAGCATCAACTTGTTCACTTAAATTATCATTAACTTGTTGTTGCTCTTCTTCTTGATTATCAGGTGCATCTATAGGGTTGTCATCACGCACAGCACTACTTGAAACTAAAAAAAACTTATCTAAAGCACCTTGTTGTGACTGATCAAACTGTTCTTCTTGTCTTTTCCGTTTTCTTTTTGCAGTTCCTGACAAATGTTTCTTAGGTAACATTCTAAAATTCTTACACCTGACTTAACTTATAAGAAAAACATGACTATATGAGTACAAAGTACTAGACAAAATTTGAACAAGGAAAAAAAACCCCTAGGGCCTAGACAGTTTAGACATGAACTGATTCAGAACCCAGATTCACAAATTACAAAAAGGGCAAAAGGCAATAACCAAGATAAATCTTCAGATGTCATCGACTCATCGTCCTCGTCGAGCCCTGCCTTGGGCCCTCGGCTGCCTTGTCGCGTGGTGATCGGTTGATCGCTCGATCGGCCGTCGACGCTGCGTCTCGCCGAGTCGCCGTTCACGGAAGTCTATGCGGGGCTGCGGAAGTACGAAGTAGTGATCGCTGATTCGCTGTCACGCTGTGTGGGGCTGCGGCGTTGGCGTAGTGCGCTGCGTTGGCGGCGGCTCGGCTCCTGACTTCCTGAGTCCTGATTGCTGAAAAGGAAGACAAAGAGGCCGACGGCGACGGGCTCTGAAAAGAAGCACCAATGACGGTGGTCTAGCGCGCTTTGAGAGAGAGCCGACCAGGCGGCCAGCTACTGACGTCACGATGATGGGTCTTGCGCGCGCTATGCGGCAATGATGGTGGCCGCATTGGTTTCGCTGCTCAGCCATTAATCCGCCTAGGCCTCCGGCCATCGCACCTCCTGCCCCCCCCCCTTAGGGCCGGCACTGCTTGGAGTTTTCAGCGGTCAACGTACTCATTTATTCTTACTAGACATCATGCTTCAATGGTTGATTTAGCGGGTTCAACGTCATTTAAAATATTATTATTGGAACACCAAAACTTATTGCTCCAACTTCTTGGTAAGTGGTGAGTGCACTTAAAGTTAAGAAGCTTAATAAGAGGTATCAAGGTCTTCTCTTTTGTTTGCTAATCTGTCCTAAACTTGCTAGAAATATATTCTTTCAGGGGCAGAGAGAGTAGATAAACTAGAGTAATCTAAACATGAATCTCACGGTGCAATAGATTGTTGCTTGATGTCCTACCTGTGGGGGGTATAACCCCAGATACCCAAGGCAATGGACATGGGCCATAGCACCGGGGTGGTCCAGCCCATAAGAAGAAGGCGTGTGATGCAAGACACTGATCGGCATGCAACATACGGTTTTAGGAAGGAATCTTGAAGATAGAGAAGGGTCTGTTCGGATATGATAGATATCGTATTCCTTGTAAATATTTACCATATACCCGAATAGATCTAGATCTAACCGACTTGTAACCCTACCCCCAAAACTATATAAGGCGGTAGGGACCCCCTCGAATTGATCTTATATTCAATACAATCCAACAAAGACGCATGACGTAGGGTATTACGTCGATCAAACGGCCGAACCTGTCTAAATCGCCGTCTCTGCTCCTTGTGTCACCATCCGGTTTCTATTACGCGCACCTCCACCGACCATCTACTATCGTGGGTATACCCCTCGGTAGACTGCCGACCAGATTTCATCAACAGTGGCGTGCCAAGTAGAGGGTGTGCGTGTTGATTCTATGGCGAACCAGATGGGAATTTCTTCACCAACAGCGTCGGCAACAACTTGGCGTCTCACGGTATTCCTACCGGCCTACAATGGGATTCTACGTCCTGGGGCAATCTGCGGCAGCTCGCGATGAGGTGCTGAGTCAAGCGGCGCCCTTCTCTCGACGTTCGACGGCGTGCCTCCGTACCCTGTACAATACCGACCAATCAGGATCGGTAGCCACGCACGGCGCTCCTGTTCATGCCATCGGTGGAAGCATCAAGCGGCGTCTGCGTAGGAACCATCGCACAACCTCAAGCAACAAAGGAGGATGTACAGTGCTATACATTAATTGGCTTGTATATACGGGGGTATATATATACACGCTCAGCATGCATGCATGGAGGTCGCAAGCACAAACACGCCCGGCGGCTTGTTGACAAGCTAAGTCCTATTCCTTTCTTCCAATTTAGTATCTAGTATCGTATTGCATGTTTATGTCTCTGGGTATCTACATACGCTTCTATGGTTATTCACAGCAGTGATCATCCTCGTCTTCCATCACGACTCATCGGACCTCGCCCTCGACTACGACTACAACTCCTCTACGTAGACGCGAACTGGATATTACATATGCCGATTACTCCACTCCGCCGGCTATTAAAGTGCCATGTCGCATCGTCT